AGAAGGGATGAAAATCGGCCGTCCACCGATCGGGAAAAAATTCGATTCGTGCATCCGAAGTTTGCCTAATTTTTCGGAATTCGACGCAAATCGAATTTTTTTCCTAATATTCGAAACGAATTCCACTTCGCCAAGTTCGATTCGCCATCTCTAATCTACACCATGGACTTTTACCTATATATATCCTCATATAAAAATCTGATAGAACGTCCAAACTTCTCTCCACTTTGCTAAAAAAAATAAATTCTAATATTATTTAATATAATAAAACACACAACATATATTATAATAATTAGACTAATAAATTCTGATTAAAAATATGGACCGAATGATAATATATAAAAAAAATGAGTAAAATGTTTCCAAAAAAATTCGGTCCATATTTTAATCAGAATGTAATATTTTATTTTTTTTATTATTATTGTAATTAGTACCATTGTTGTTAGTTTAGTATTGTTTTTTTTTTACCAATTGATGAAACTGAAATGATATAGTTTATTATTCATATTCTACAAATTGCCACCCAGTTCTTGTATTTGACTTATCTATTCTCTGACATAATTTTTTTCTATTCATATTATTTATTGAGTTTTGTAGGCATATACAGGTTAAGCATTGTGAACATGGTTATACATTGAGGTTAGACATATAAGTAGATTTTTAAAGAAAATAACATTAACATAAATAGAAAACATAGTAAATGTCTAACAATTTCCTATAAATATAATTTTATTATAATGATTTACCTCTATTCATATGAATAGGTTATATGACAAAATTGAATATAATAATAGAATTTTCATAATAGATAATCAAAAATCTAAATATATTTTGTGATTCAGTTATGTTTTGCATATACAGGTAAGCATTGTGAACATGGTATGACATTGAGGTAGACATAGTAAGATATAATGAGATATAGAAAATCCATGGATGGTTAAAATGTCATTGGATATTACGATTAATTGGGTAATTTGGAGAAAAGAGAATAAAGGAATTTTGTTACCACAATGTCATACCAATAGTTGAATTTATCGTTAATGCCTACAAAACTCAAGAATTATTGAGTTTTTGTAGGCATATACAGGTAAGCATTGTGAACATGGTATGAATTGAGGTAGACATAGTAATAGATATAATGAATATAGAAAATCCACATTAACGCAGTGATACAAGTTTACGGTGAATTGAACCAATGGGGATGACAGTCGAGATGTGGGTTGTGAGAGCAGGAAATGATAACAAGATGTGAGTGGGAGAGGGGGAACAGGCAATGGAGGGGAGAAGAGGGAAAAAAAGGGGGAAAAAAGTAAATAAGTAAATAAAATAAGGTGGACAGATTGGCTGAGATTAATTTTTATACTTCCAATACTATTGGCTATTGGATAATTGCTTGGTTTTAAATATGATTACAAGGAATGGAAATTTTACTGATATTAGATTGATATTGAAATATCCTTATGTTTTTTTAGTAGCCCTGATGTAGGGGAGACGCTCTTGGGACCACTGAAACACATTGGGTACTTTTTGGATAGTCCACCTGATTTCTATAGGAATAAAGTTGTATCTGGACCTCTTCGTGATGGATTGGAGTTAAAGCTATATTACACTTGCTATACTGATGTTTGTGACAACATGTCAATAACTGAATTGATTTACATGACAGATAGTTACTCACCTGATTCTGCTGTGTTGAACCCTTGGGTAGATAAGTGAGGCTATACTCTGTCATTGACATTCTACCATGTTTCCACAAACAAGGAAGCAATAGCTTGCTCTTCTGGGCCAGTAAGAGAGTGACACTGTGAAAGCAGGTATTTTTTCTGCATTTCTTAGCGATTCTGTCACTAGAGAGTTGTTGCCAGCAACAGAATTGCAAGTGTGCCTTGTCCCTTAGAGTTCAGATTAAGGGCTGGGAAGAGGTTTTTCAGGTGTGAAAAATAACTAGAAGTAAAGCATAACTATCAATGCAAACCCATAATGATAATGTACACAAAGATTTAAATGCCAGAAATTTGTATGGTCAAATTTCTGGAACTGAAATTCCCTTGTCCAAATCGTCCACTCCAAACACATCAATGGCACAAAAAGTTGCATTTTTCATTTACAGTGAAAGTCAATGTGTTGCCCATATGATTCAGATACCAGTGGCCATATTCATCAAACCACTGTTGTATAAGCATTTGGTGATGGCTAAGACTAGTAGATGAATACCAGCCATTTTTATAAAGAGGAAAACTAACCATGTTTCCAGTTTGGACATATCCCAGACATTCTACTCTCTATTAAAAGTGCTGTGGCTTCAATGGTTGCGGATAAATTTATCAATAGAATATTTTTGACGAGTAGGGATTTTATAGGTAACCCATAAACACACTTTATTACATAGACAACATCCGTTAAAAGACAGTAGCATACACAATAAGAGAAGAGATGTGCCACATTGTCATAGCAGGAGGAACCCCCAATGTGTTTATGAAAGTCCCACTGACTAGAGTAAAAGGTTTACTGCTGTAGCCATCTATGTCACCCTTGACTCTTAAAGTATAACTAAAGGCAATTTGTTTTTCAAAATTTTGGATAGACTGCAGAGGGATTAGAACCCCTGTCAGTTTTTATTGCTGTCTGTGCCCCCATTATGGAGATTCACCCTCTCTATTTGTCCCTTTCACCATTATCATTGAAAGTGAAAGTAAAAGAAAATCCCAGATGTTGAGTTGGCTTGTCCCCAGAAAAAGTAATAGAGGGGAAATCTTCCAATGGGGACACTAGTTATGGTGACCTAGGGGTTCCTAATGAATTCTCTTAATTTGCGGGGAGTTCTTCTCACTTCCTTCTTAGCTATGGGACAGGAAGTAAAGGGAAATATCTACAATGGGATATAGATGGCAAAAAAATCTGACAAGGTTTATAACCTTCACCTGCTCTCTACAAAATGAAAAAACATTTTGCCTATAGTTCTACTTTAAACTCTTCCTGTCATTCTTGAAGAATCTTTCTGCTTGGGGTGATGTATGAACCTCTCTTTCTCCTGTTTTTATTGCTTTGGCCTTGTCTGTGTGTGTAATATTTATTAAATAGAAGCAGAAGTTAATTGATTGTTAATATGTGAGCCTTGTGCGGAGTGATGAGTCACATTTTACAGACACAGCTCCTTGCCTGCCACTCTGTGCCTGTTCTTGCACCATATGATGGGCTCTGTTCTTCTCTAGGAATCAACACAGCTGTCATTTACACGCAGCATGGGGATGGACTGTAATGGACATTTGAAGTAAAAAAAAATGTGCTGGAACGAACTCCTGGGCACAGCAATCTCTGTTAGTGGGCATACTTGCACTGTGTAAATGACAGTTCTGTTCATCCATGGAGATAAATAAAGGTTGTTTATTATACATTACAGAAACTTATCTACAAGTGCCAAGGAAACTGGCTTCCTCTGTAAAATGCAGCTCATCATCTCTGTGAATGGGCCCTTATTTTTCACACACCTTGAAGATTCTGAGGACAGTGTTATAGTCAGAGGAGACTAAATTTGAATTATTTGGCCTCAGCACTAAATAATATGTCTGGCGGAAATCTCGTACAGCTTACCATCCAGATAACACCATTCCTACAGTAAAGCATGGGGATGGTAATGTCCTGTTATGGTGGTGTTTCTCTGCAGTAGGGACTGGAGAACTTGTCAGGATAGAAGGAAAAAATGGATGAGGCAAAATACTGTCAAATTCTTGGGGAAAATCTGCTGCCCTCTGCCAGAAAGTTGTCAATGGGAAGAAGGGTTACCTTCCAACATGACAATGACCCAAAGCACACACCTAGTGGTTGAAGGAGAAAAAAGGTGAATGTCCTTGCATGACCTAGTCAGAGTCCATACTTAAACCCCATTGAAAATCTGTGGAAGGAGTTGAAGACTGCAGTCGACAAACGGTCACCATCAAATTTAACTGAACTTGAGCATTTCTGCAAAGAGTCGGCAAATATTTCAAAATCTAGATGTGCAAAGTTAGTAGAGACATATCCCAACAGACTAAAGGAGGTTCAACAAAATACTGACACAAGAGTGTGATTCTGTTTTTGAATTTTTTGAATTTTTTTCTGACATGTTTGTGTTTTATCTTTCACTTGGATGTTATAAGTTGCACTTAGTAAATAAAGCTGAATACAACAAAAACTGAGTCTGTCATCATTTCAGGCTGCAAAGCAACAATATGTGATTATTTTGAAGGGGGTGATTCTTTTTTATACTTACTGTATTTTAGGGAACCCTAATCACCAGTGTTTAGGAACTCTAAATATAACAAGCTGCTTGCCACTAACACCATTGTAAAGAGAGTTTTTATTTTACGGAGCATAACAGAATACAAGCCACCAAATTAAGGCTCATTCTACCAGGGTAAATAAATGACCACTGCTCCAAACATAAAGGGTCTATTATAGGGGTCCTGGGCCAATATAAAAGTGGTTTTATAATATATAAACAATAAAAGGACCTACTAGTTGCAACAGGTAAATATGTTATTTATATTAGTGAGCATAACAGACCACTAGCCACTAGGAATCCACTGATATAAAAATCCACTGACTACCTAGAGGGGGAAAAAAAACTAATAAGCAATGCAAAGGGAGCTTTAAGGGAAATTTCTAGTGGAGGAGGGAAATGTCTACTGGCATTACTGTAATGTGACATAAAAATGAATCTTGAATATAGTGTGTGGGGATTTATTTGCTTTTTCTGAGAAGAAAGGCAAAACGAACATACTTTGTGTTAGCCATTATACGGTCTAAGAATTCGCTATCATTTGTCACATTTCAAATTTTTGCTCTTGTATGTAGAAATGCTTGGAACGTGTTGAATTCTATATACATGAGGCGCCATAACAGGCAAATTAACGAAGGAGTCCTGCTGGTGGTGTTTATTTATCAATGTCTTTTCTCCAGTTGATCTGAGGAGTTTGTGTCTATATCAGCATTGGCTTAACAAGCTCTTTTTTCTTGTTTAGGTTCTCCGAGCTCACATATTACCTCTTACCAATGTGGCATTTAATAAATCCGGTTCCAGGTAAGATGCACTCTTTTTGGTCTTGTACTATTTATACTGTAGCCTGATTGATATGGCATATTCATAGGCTGCCTAAAGATCTTATAGGATGATTGATTGAGCAGGCACAATCTGACCAACCTCACGGACTGGAGAGCCAGAGGGAATGGACTGGACAGATTCATGTGGCATAGTTAGTGGTGACAGCTGGAACACTATAGAAATTGATCTAAACACAGTAGAGCTCCAAGGAGGTTGGGGCTGGACATTTTGAACAGCGAGATTTTAAGTGTCATAGGTTGTGATGAGGATTTGCAACCCATTAACGTCTGGGAAACACTGGGGTACAGAGAAAGTTACCCTATAAAGATAAACTACCTTTTATCGAAAACCCTAATAAAACAATCCAAACTATATACTGTAGAACTGTACTTCTATGTAGCCATGAAATCCAGGTATAACTTAGCTAAGTATGATCTGATATGTTATTGCTTTGGCTGTTCCTGAAATCCAAACATTTTTTTTCTTTCTGTGTAGTTTCATTACTGGCAGTTATGATCGAACCTGTAAAGTGTGGGACACAGCATCAGGAGAAGAGCTGCATACCTTGGAAGGTCATCGAAATGTGGTCTATGCCATCCAATTTAATAATCCTTATGGGTAGGTAATGGCAGAGGGGTGAAATAACGACAAATGTTACTGAATTATCTGATGAATTTGTAAAGAAAAATTTTCTATTTTTTGCCTGAAATTAAGAAATGTCTAGAGCCGTGTCCAAAAGTTTTGAGAATGACACAAATATTAATTTTCACAAAGTCTGCTTCTTCTGTGTTTTTAGATCTTTTTGTCAGATGTTACTATGGTATACTAAAGTATAATTACAAGCATTTCATAAGTATCAAAGGCTTTAATTGACAATTACATGAAGTTTATACAAAGAGTCAATATTTGCAGTATTGACCCTTTCTTTTTAAGACCTCTGAAAATCGCCCTGGCATGCTGTCAATCAACTTCTGGGCCACATCATGACTGATGGCAACCCATTCCTGCATAATCAATGCTTGGAGTTTGTCAGATTTTTTTTTTTGGGGGGGGGGGGGTTGTTCACCCACCTCTTGAGGATTGACCACAAGTTCTCAATGAGATGAAGGTCTGGGAAGTTTCCTAGCCACGGACCCAACATTTTGATGTTTTGTTCTTGAAGTCACTTAGTTATCACTTTTGCCTTATGGCAAGGTGATCCATCATGCTGGAAAAGGCATTGTTTGTCACCAAACTGTTCTTGGAATGTTGGGAAGAGGATGTTTTTGTACCATTATTTATTCATGGCTGTGTTCTTGGGCAAAATTGTGAGTGAGCCCACCCCCTTGGCAGAGAAGCAACCCTACACATGAATGGATGCTTTACTGTTGGCATGACACAGGACTGGTGGTGGTAGCGCTCACCTTTTTCTTCTCCGGACAAGGTTTTTTCTGGATGCCCCAAACTATCGGAAAGGGGATTCATCAGAGAAAATGACTTTACCCCAGTCCTCAGTAGTCCAATCCCTGTGTCTTTTGCAGAATATCAGTCTGTCCCTATTGTTTTTCCTGGAGAGAAAGGGCTTTTTTGCTGTCCTTCTTGACAGCAGGCCATCCTCCAAAAGTCTTCTCCTCACTGTGCGTAAAGATGCACTCACATCTGCCTGCTGCCATTCCGGAGCAAGTTCTGCACTGGTGGTGACCCAATCCTGCAGCTGAATCAACTTTAGGAGACGGTCCTGGTGCTTGCTGGACTTTCTTGGTCAACCTGAAGCCTTCTTCACAACAATTGAACCTCTCTCCTTGAAGTTCTTGATGATCGATAAATAGTTGATTTAGGTGCAATCTTAGTAGCAGAAATATCCTTGCCTGTGAATCCCTTGTTGTGCAAAGCAATGATGACTGCACGTGTTTCCTTGCAGGTAACCATGGTTAACAGAGAAAGAACAATGATTTCAAGCATCGCCTTCCTTTTAAAGCTTCCAGTCTGCTATTCTAACTCAATCAGCATGACAGAGTGATCTCCAGCCTTGTCCTCGTCAACACCAACACCTGTGTTAACAAGAGAATCACTGACATGATGTCAGCTGGTCATTTTGTGGCAGGGCTGAAATGCAGTGGAAATGTTTTATGTTTTTGGGGGGGATTAAGTTAACTTTCATGGCAAAGTGGGACTTTGCAATTAATTGCAGTTCACCTGATCACTCTTCATAACATTCTGGAGTATATGCAAATTGCCATCATAAAAACTGAGGCAGCAGACTTTGTGAAAATGAATATTTGTGTCTTCTCAAAACTTTTGGCCAGGGCTTTACTTAACCAACTTTGGCACTACTACAGTGCAGGGCAAATTATATCACTGCTTCTTTGTGCTCCACAAGTCCATACTTGTTCAGTACAGACAAACATCCTCCTTAATGGTGTAGCTAAAAGCAAACTTCTGGAGCTAAAAGCAAACTTCTGGATTCACACAATTTACTGCGAATGTCAAGGCCAGACAGGGTTTGTCTGCTCCTTAGAAATGATAAAGTATACAAACAGTTGCACATTGCTGAATCCCTTTTTCATTGATTCATTAAGCTTTTTTGTTGCTATCACCTCCTGTCAAACATTATCCTTCCTTCTCTTCTCCAGGCCAATGCATGGCAAAGTGACAGTGTCTCTGCAAAAGGCCCCCTTAACCTCAATATTCTCACCTTGCCTGCACTCACCCTGCCTCTCCTTCCTTCGTCACAGCTGGTGACACTACCTAGTACTTTGGGTATGTGGGAGCATTTGACCTTCATCTGACCTGCTTGGGCCTATAAGCCAATCACTAAACCCAGGCCTGTCACATGACTGAGTGAAGTCACTGCACCACCAGATTACCCGCAATGCTTATTTCAAGCCAAACTCTGGGGAAAGTAAAAATCCTCCCTTGCTGTGGGTTTAAATACTCATTTATATCTAATGGACTGTGAAAAATAGTTTTACTTACCTAATCTTTCCTTTCTCAGGATCCTCCATGCTACAAGGCTGGTCCCTGCAGTCTCTTCTCCTGTATGCTCTGGGGGTTGGATGCCCTTGATGACTTGATGACCAATGCAGAACCTATAGCCTTATATTGGACAGGACACCAAGGAACAGTCCACCATGGAAGCATAGGGGATTCCCATCTATTGGGGCACTCCCCCCAAAGTGTTGGATCTGTTAAGTGAAACTGCTTTTCCTGTCCCCTAACACTAGTACTGCAAGGGGGGAGGCAGCACTCTTCAAGAGAGGATTTTTACTTTTCCTGGTGTTGAACTTTCAGCACCATCTTTGAAGGAGGAAAGAGCGGGGCAAGGTGACACCATTTCTTTAACAAAATAGGGACCGTGTACTTAGTCAACATATTTTAAACGAGATATGTTAAACTAAACACTGTGTAAATATATTTTAAATTAGATTTGTTACACTAAATATGAAAAAAAATCTTTTCCTTTCAACAGGGACAAAATAGCCACAGGATCATTTGATAAAACTTGCAAGTTATGGAGTTCTGAGACAGGCAAATGTTACCACACCTTCAAGGGGCATACTGCAGAAATAGTAAGTAACTCTGAAACTATTGCTGATGGAAAATCTGATTTAATTTTACCAAATCAATAATTTGTGTCATATTGTGTCAAGCAGTTTTTTTCGGTCAGTGAAATCTGTAAGTGATTATATGTTACCAGTCTAAGTGTTTGGGGGTTCAGGGTAAGGATTAAGAGTTCTTTTTAAGGGTTAGGGTAAATGTTGTGGTTAGGGTTAGGTGTTGGGTCAAATTTTAAGGGTTAGGTTTCAAGGGTTTATTGTTAGGATTCTGGTTAAGTGCTGTGGTTTATTTTTAAGGTATAGGTTAAGTGTTAGGATTAATTTAGTGTAAGGGTTCATTTTAGGGGATAGATTAATGCATATCTGAGGCTTTCCCATGAATAACCCTCTCACATCAGAAAATACTTATTTTTCTGTACTACTTCACCACTCCAGCTCCTCCAGATAATACCTGACACTTCTGGATATGGAGGAGCATATGACTCATTTCCTTTCTACCATGTAACAGCACTGGTGCTTGTTGATTAGCCCAGCACTGTCACATGGGTAGACAGGCATCCTCTGGTATTCTCTGACTAGAGATCCATCTTGAGCAGGGCATTTGCCTTTCTTGCACATGTAAGCTGACCAGAACAGCCAGGCAACAAAGGAAAGTCGAGTATGGTTTCAAGGAGAGGGGGCAATTAAAGTAAAACAGGTTCATATTAAGGCTAGGGTTAAGTGTTTGGATTCGGGGTAAGTGTTTATTATTTTTAAGAGTTGTGATAAGTGTTAGGGTTCAAATGTGGGTTAAGGGTTAGGGTCAGGCTAAGTAATGAGGGATAGGTTGTGCAGAACAGTGCTTAGTGCTTAGTACCTCTGCCTTGCAAACATTACAGCAAATAGGTGCTGCAAACCTCATAGCATATTCCAAAGGGAGTATGTATCTCACAGTGCGACTCCTGTGGTTTCCATCCGCTGAACCAGTAAATCAAATCATACAGGATCGGCAACAAGGTGAAGATGAAATAGTGGAAGCTTTATTCAAATGCAGAGTATAAAATGGTTCCAGAATACTATTTTATACTCCGCATTTGAATAACTCTTCCACTATTTCATCTTCACCTTGTTGCCGATCCTATATAATTTGATTTGCCTTGCAACATTGGTTTGAATTCCAGTTTGAATACCAGTCAGAACACGATCTGCATAGTGTTTGCATACTCCTCCATTGCTTGTGTGGGTTTCCATCCACACTCAAAATATATACTTATGGATTAATTGGCTTCTTTCCAAATTGGCCCTAGTATGAGTGTATTTATGCATGTGGGATAAAACCTTAGATTGTATGCTCCTTGGGAGCAGGGACTGATGTGAATATCCACTATGTAATGTCCTGCATAAGTTGTCATATATATATATATATACCGTATATACTCGAGTATAAGCCGACCCGAATATAAGCCGAGGTACCTAATTTTACCACAAAAAACTGGGAAAAACTATTGACTCGAGTATAAGCCGAGGGTGGGAACACCAGTGGGAAGAATCGTGCCTCATCATTGGTGTCAGTGGGAGGAATAGTGCCCCATCATTGGTATCAGTGGGAGGAATAGTGCCCCATCATTGGTGTCAGTGGGAGGAATAGTGCCCCATCATTGGTGTCAGTGGGAGGAATAGCGCCCATCATTGGTGTCATTGGTCAGTGGGAGGAATAGTGCCCCATCATTAGTATCAGTGGGGGGAATAGCACCCCATTATTGGCGTCAGTGGAATAGTGCCCCATCTTTGGTGTCAGTGGGAGGAATAGTGTCCCATCATTGGTGTCAGTGGGAGGAATAGTGTCCCAACATTGGTGTCAGTGGGAGGAATAGTATCCCATCATTGGTGTCAGTGGGGGGGTGGAGGAATAGTGCCCCATCGTTGGTGTCAGTGGGGGGGAGGAAAAGTGCCCCATCGTTGGTGTCAGTGGGGGGGAGGAATAGTATCCCATGATTGGTGTCAGTGGGGGGTGGAATAGTGCTCCATGATTGGTGTCAGTGGGGGGTGGAATAGTGCCCCATCATTGGTGTCAGTGGGGGGGGGGGAATAGTGCCCAATCGTTGGTGTCAGTGGGGGGAGGAAAAGTGCCCCATCGTTGGTGTCAGTGGGAGGAATAATGCCCCATCATTGGTATCAGTGACACCAATGATGGGGCACTATTCCTCCCACTGACACTTGCTGACCCCTGTTCCAGTATGGTATTGCTGCAGCCAGCATATGTGGTTGCAGCAGCACCTAAGCACGGCACACTTACCTGCATCTCCTTCACTCGATTTTCGCGGGGCCGCTCAGCTCCGCCTCCTCGCCGGTGATTGGCCGCCTGTGTGCCTTTCCTGAGCTACAGTTCTGGCGGCCAATCACCGGTGAGAAGGCAGAGCCAAGCAGCCGCGCGAACATCCAGTGGACGAACCGAATGAAGGAGCAGCCGCGCTTACTGGACCGGATCGTCGTGGGACCGTAGCCAGGTAAGAGACAGCAGCCCCCTGCCCACCCCTGTACTTAGTTTCCCTTCTGTTGGAGGGGGGGGCATCTGCAGACGTTGACTTGAGTATAAGCCGAGGGGGCCGTTTTTCAGCACAAAAAATGTGCTGAAAAACTCGGCTTATACTCGAGTATATACGGTACCTGTATTAAGTAAAAAAAATAGATAGGTTACACATCAGGATGATTTCTTTAAACACTTTATTTTCTCTTGTTTTCAGTTATGAAAGCCCTTTGTTGAGCGCTAACAGCTGCTGGTGCTGAAACACAAACCATTTCAGTATAAATAAAGTTCTACAGTGAGAGTTGTTAATATAATGACATGATTGTTTAGCTAAAGGCCTTAATTCATGCTAAAGATCCCTCAATATCCCATAACTCCACAACTGAATTGTTCTTTATTACTAGCTGTATGGTGGAATCCCAAGGGCCTTTTGTTGCTACATATAATTAAGCCATATTGCCTCCTCTCATCTCATATATTTCACTGTATTGATTGCATTATACTTTGGATTAATTCCCAGATACACAGACATCTTGTACATATGTTATTAGTAATATCAAATTTGCTTTATGTGCAACTTTTTAAAGAGATATCATCTTACTTTCTGACTACTGAAATGTGTTTTCCAGTTCCAGTGAAATAAACATAGGTATTATGGGACAGGAAATATATTAGAAACACACTTACTTTTTTTATCTTTGGATTCTAAGCCCCCATTCACATCTCAGCTCGGAGCTCTTAAGCACTCAACAAGCTAAATCCCATGCTTTGAAATTGTGCTTGTTCACATTCGTACACCCAAGTGCCTGTAGATCAACTCATGAAGTTCCAAAAGGTATATGAGCTCATTTTGAAGCAGAATGGGTCCTTTTTGGCTCCATTGACTTAATGGGAGCATGCAAATAAATGCGGAAAAACACATTTTGCGCGTATTCAGACTCTTCCGTATAAAAAGTCTATGAGGCCAAAAAGGGAACTCTGCTCTTAAAAATCCATGTAAAATCGCAAAAATAACTCAATATTGCCTGCATACACTTTTTTGGCTTCATTGACTTACCTGCGAGTGCAAACAAATGCGCAAGAACACACTATGCAATTTTTTCAGGCGCTCCCATCTTAGAATTCTAAGGGGGAAAAAATGGCACTTCATTCTTAAAAAGGACAGTCCATATTCCCATCACACATGTTCCTGGAATGAGCTCTTAGAAGTACTGGGTGCTGCAATGACCACCAGCTGAATACTGGACCATTCACGACATAATGTAAATATTTGCCAGCACACCATGGATCTTCAGTTAAGTCCAAATGTTTTGTTTTATTGAAGAGGTATCACAAACAGAGTAGGGCAATGTTTTTGGAGCTGTGCAGGACCCCTTCGCCAGGCATCCCACACATTCCTGGAATGAGCTCTCAAAAGTAACGTGTGCCGCAGTGTCCACCAGCTATATGATAGAGCATGCACAACACGTTTTGGAGCTGTGCAAGACCCCTTCGTCAGGCATGAAACGTTGCAATACTCTGTTTGTGATGTGTCGGTAATACTCGGCGATCACTGGGTCCCGGCGAGTAGTCACCGGCCGGGACCCGGTAATTGACAGCTGAGGCCACGAATGCTGGCGAGGGTAGGGCGTGCTCGCGCACCCTACCCGGAGTTGCAAAATCACTTATATATATATGTAGACATGTGAAAAAGAAGGAATAAATCCTATAAATTGGTCATATCCCTATATAGGGGACTCACTTTCTACATTTTTATGTATTTGCACCAATTTATATGAGAGTATTTGATCCCTCAATTGCGGATAAGGGGGATTGCGGTATTATTCACCAATTTATAGGATTTATTCCTTCTTTTTCACATTATCGCTGTATTTCACCATAGATCCTGCCAGGATCATATCACCATATATATATTTTTTATATTTGTGTGTTGTATTTATTTTGTTACTAGCGCTACACTATTTTATATATTTCGGTTTATACACTAATTGGGTATAGGTTTGAGTGTGAGCAGCTTAGGGCTAGGGATTATCCATTCAGTATTTCTGCTTTAGGGCGGACGGGAAGCGGTTAAAGAAGTCCCAAGTCAAATATAAAAACACACCCTTCATTTAGGCTGGTTATTTATCGTTAATTAAATTAAATGAACAAATAAAAATTTAACTACTGTTAGCATAACTGGCTAAAGTCTGTCTTTATATTTTCCTTCCAAAATGCCCTGCTAAGCAGAAGTCAGACAGAGAGGCAATTCACTTTTATTGCACAATGCTGCCAATTAGGTACTGTTTCAGGTACTTACCTGATGGTAATTTGTACTACCTTTTGGTCTGCTAAGACTTTTGATTATGCTTCGATGGTAGAGTCTTATTTTGTAAGTGTGTATGAGATAGATATTTGCCCTAGGTAGAGCATTAGTCTACAACTACACAGTTGTAGAAGATAGTGCTTTATTTGAGCTGTACTGGACATTTCTACTGTTGTTGAGAAAATCCTTCCCATGCAAGAATGGCAGTGAATACTGCTGCTCAAGTGAGGATGGAGCTCACCATGTCACATTTACATTTTTATACATCTTCCTATAGAAAATCCATTAGTGGGTGCAGGACACAAAAGTGTTGAAATATGTTAGCAGCATTTATTTGTCACCTACCCTTGGTAGGAATATATTCACCTATGTAGTTGACACAACCCTAACAGCTGTGCTAAGCCTCATGCACATGGCCACATACAATTTACGCACAATCTTACTGTCCGTACCGCATCTCAACTCATAGAGACATACACACGCATATGGCCGGATGAGTTATTATTATTATACAGGATTTATATAGCACCAACAATTTGCTCAGCGGTTTACAATATAACGGGAGACAATACAGCAACAATACAGTTCAATACAAGAGGGAAAGGGGGGCCCTGCTCCTTGGAGCTTACAATCTAGGAGGGAGGGGCTAGTGGTACAAAAGGTAGTAACTGTGGGTAATGGACTGGTTGGAAGAGTAGAAGATTCCATTATTGGCTGAGGACAGGATAGGCTTCCCTGAAGAAATAGGTTTTCAGAGATCGCCTAAAAGTGAGCAGAGTAGGAGGCGATAGTCTGATAAATTGGGATAGAAAGTTCCAGAGGATGGGGAAGCTCTGGAAAAGTCCTGGAGACGAGCATGGGAGGAGGAGACAAGGGAGCTAGAGAGTAGGAGGTCTTGCGAGGAGCGGAGAGTATGGTTTGGGTGATATTTAGAGACAAGATTGGTGATGTAATTTGGGGCAGAGTTATAAATGGCTTTATACGTTATTGTTAATGTTTTGAATTTTATCCGTTGGGCAATGAGAAGTCAGTGGAGGGATTGGCAGAGAGAGGTGGCAGATACAGAACGGTTAGTAAGGTGGATAAGTCTGGCAGCCGCATTCATGATACACTGAAGAGAGGATAGCCTGCGATGAGGTAGGCCAATGAGGGAGTTGCAATAGTCAAGGCGAGATATAACAAGGGAGTGAATAAGTTGCTTAGTGGTTTCCGAGGTTAGGAAAGGGCGAGTTGAGGTGTGTACTATGTACCTGTGTTCTGTGCTGATGCCACTGCCTACGCATTGTTAATGTTTCCATGGGCAGCAGTGGTGCTGCCACCATCCATGTCCGTTTACCCTATACTCATGTAAACATTTACACAAACACACACAGTACATACAGTACAGCTTAAAATATGGTCAAAAGCGAACCACGACTGCAAACTTTTCTGTTTTACCTTATGCAGCTAAACGCTATGGACCAAAACGAAGCTGTGTAAACGGGCCCAAAGCACATAATACTGCTGCATTAAGATACATATACATTACAGATCCAAATGCAGCATATTTTGCACCTGTATGCAAGGCTCAAAGCTTTTAAGCTTCATCCATTCTATGCATGAAGGTAAAAAACCTTTCTCTGTACAGCAGCCTTCCCTGCATCCTTTAAAACATACCTGATCCCCATCTCGATCCAGTGATGTTCAGAGAGCCTCAGCTCTCCCAGGTCTCACCCTCCTCATAGACTGAGAAAGCAACGTTAGCCATTGGCTTCCACTACTGTCAGTCACAGCCAGAAAGCCAATGAGGAGAGAGTGGGGGCGGGGCTGAGTTGCGCTCCATGTGTGAATGGACATACAGAGCCTGCTCATGTGCCGTTATAGCAAGCTGCTTGCTATGGGGGCACTAGGCAGGAGGGAGAGGCCTGGAGTGCCAGCGGGGGACCCAAGCAGAGGAGAATCCGGGCACAATCACTGCACAGAGAAGGTAAGTATGACATATTTGTTATTTGTAAACAATACAAATCAGCCTTTAATGTCACTTTAACAAGGTCTCAGAGAATAATAAAGGCTGAACACTGACATACTACAGTCATAACTGAAAAAAAAATATTTGATGGAGTTATGCTTTATTTTATATTTATTGGAAATATATATGGCAAGATTGTCCTTTACTAAGATGTATGTGTCCCTGGCCTCTTACCATGGTCATCCTCCAATAGTAGGATACGTACTACAAAACAATAAAAGTAAAAGAAAATTCTACATTATAGATAAATACGTGATAGAGCGATTTGCATTTTGCTGGATAACTGCTGCATACACGTTTCACATTGTGAATTTGCATAATGAAAAAGAAAGGAATAAAGAGCTGTCATATGGGCGAAGGGCGATAATCACTCTGAGATGCTTACAACAGCAATCTTTCAGCATGTGGCGTGAGCAGCCTGGAGAACAGATTTTACAAGGCTAGGCAGAAAACACATTAACTGTCAAACAAACAATGCTTTGTCTCCTAGACAGGAGACACTGGTAACACAAATTCCATGTTTGCCAGTTTGCTAGACAGGAGTGTATGACATGGCGTGTTCACAGGCAGGGGCGGACTGACAACTCATGGGGCCCCTGGGCAATAGGGGATCATGGGGCCCCTGTGTCCTTGCCCAAACTCAAAAAAGCCTATACAAAAGGTACCAGGGGCATCTCATGGGGCCCCCTACTGACCCCGGGCCCTCGGGCAGTGTCCGAGTTTCCAAATGGTCAGTCCGCCCCTGTTCACAGGTATGCTAGGTTTATGTGGTCTTTCTTTGTGCATGGTGTTTCAGTTTGGGTAGATATTGGCAGGTTGAACAGCCTCTGTCTGGTCTAGTGTGATCCTCTGCCCCCCGAGTTCTCTGCTCCATCACCTGATGTAGTAGTTATGGAAGATTCATCTTTTAACATTCAATCCCTTCCTAGTTGGGTATACAGTGTAAAGGTCCTATAAAAGTCTCACAATCCCTTCCTGTACTAGGGTCAGTTTATGTAGAAGGCAACTACATTTCCTGTAATTTTGGATGGTAGGGGAATATTAAAGTAGGGGGAGGATAACCTCCCAAACAAAGAGAGAACAAACAAACTCCATGTAGAAGGCTTGACTGAGTTTAAATTTAGAACCTCAGGCCTGTAAGGAAACAGGACCCCAATGATTTCAGCCGCTGCCATCCATATTAAAGGGGGAGAGGGGGTCATGACCATACATACATTTTTATCCTGCTGTGTATAAGGCAGAAACAGATGAAACAAAAACAGGTGAGGCTGGAGTTCTGCTTTAAGTGGAATGCTGGAGTGAACCCTCTACTAAATTAAACATGTAGGTTGCCATTGCTGACCTCTTCTGAAAAATTTATAGTTACCGGTCTACCAATGATTTCAGTACTTTCTGCATTACTAACACTAAGGACACCTGAACAAACAGTTTTGCAGATCAGGGGTTTCTGACTTTGCTTGTTCTATGTGTGTGTTACTAGGCAGCTAGCATTTTCAGAAGAGAGCTCAGTAAGTTCAGCCTATGTAATTTCTGCAGCACAGGTTTGTTTTAATATACACATTAGTTAATAAAAATGTATTCTCCAGATTTTCTCCCTGTGTTGTCCCACTATAACTGCTGCTTAATAGGAACCCCACACTCTATCAGAGTCAGCAGAATCACTGTTTAAAAAGTTGTCAGATATGTGGTCTGAAAGACTCATTATTGGTCTAAGCATGCAAAATAATCTCCATATATAGAAATACTGCTGTCAATAGAGAATAGAATTTGCTAGATATCCACCTAGATGGGCATCAGTGAATTTGAATTCTTAGGCTGATCTCTGGGAATTAGTTAAAATGTACCCTTACAGTGCCCCCCTACTTTTCACTGCTTTTACTTTTACTTGTTTGAAAAGTATTCTGTTCTGTTTGCATTGGTTCCTTTGTGTGAAATACTTGATGTGAAAGAAATGTTGAATTCTGTATAAAATTGCACTATATTTTGTATGCTTTGCTCATCTATTGCACATGGCAGTAATAATGTTTTGATTACATATGCAATTTTTTTAAATTGGTAAGACGTTATCCCGCCTATGATGTACTGCCTACAGTTATCAAATATAGTATGTATTATTTTTATGTATACACACAACCGTTTTGCCTTGCATTTCTATTTTAAATAAGTTGGTTTACACAGTAAAAGTTCACATATACTTTAAGTCCAGAGGGTACAGAAACAAGCATTTTTACTTGCTTCACTCCCACTCAGGCCAGCTCTGCATCATCACGTGTTATGTAGAGCTAGTAACCCAGCATTGTACTTGAAGGAGGCTACAGTGTGGCTATAGCCCCTTAGAGATGAGGCAGTGCTGGACCAGTCAGATGGATAGAGGGAGCCTGATGGAGCATGAAGGGAAGTGATCATCAGGGACCAGCTGAATTTTGGTTCATGTATGAGCAGGCTGATTGTACCCAAGTCGATCCCTTGATTTTTTTACATGCAATTACTGCCATAAGCTATAGCCGCTATCATTGATCATTGCATTCTGCTGGCTGTGAAGTCTCCCCGCACCCCCTGCTGGCAGAATACATTAGCACTGTAGGAGTTATTCCCTCATCAACACTGACTGTGTTCACGAGGGAATCAAGCAATTTTCCTTCTGTCTGCTTGAAATTTTTACTTCTGTCATTGGCTCATTAGCTCATCTGCGGGTTTACCTGCAGTACATGTCTGTCTGCATTTGGTATACCGGTATAATCTTCAGCTATGGAAAATGTCATGTTCCTGACATACCTCTGGACAACAAAATCATTTATAAATAGACATCAGTCATATACCCATTGGCTCTTACATATGAGATGCCTTGATATGGATATTTAAATAAGGGTTGTTGGTAGCTTATTAAAAGAAAATGCTTACATTCTATGCAATTCCTATTGGTGGGTAGCACAAATATATATTTTAAAGAGGTTGATTGTAGATTAATGATATTTTAACATATTTAAATGTTCTTAATGCTAATGAATATTTTACTGTGTAATCTTCTTCTCTTTGTATTGAACATTTGTTCCTGACTGGAAAGGTAAAAATGGGTTATACTTGATAATGCCTGATGCCCAAACTTTTTTTCCAGGTTTGCTTAGCATTCAATCCTCAGAGCACCCTGGTGGCAACTGGGAGTATGGATACTACAGCAAAGCTATGGGACATAAAGACAGGAGAAGAGGCTCTAACCTTGAGTGTAAGTTACAGCTATTAACATACTTCCTAACCATTCATAATTTAGTAAAAAAACAAGATTGCAAAGAACAAAATTCATTAGTCCATGCTTCGGTTGGTCTACAAACTCCACTCTACCACTTTTACTTTGGTCCACTATACAAACCCGGTGCACAGTTAGTGCACTTATTTAGCCCATCAGGTTGACACTCCTTAAAACACAATATCATTTTTGGACTTTTAAAGCTAAAGTAAAATTTTTGCCCATTCTTCTGTGCAGAACTGCTCAAATTCTTTCAGACTGGATGGAGATTGTCTGTGAACAGCAATTTTCAAGTCTCACCACAGATTCTCAATTGGATTTAGGTCTGGACTTTGACTGGGCCATTCTAACATATGAATATGCTTTGATCTAAACCATTCCATTGTAGCTCTGGCTGTATGTTTAGCGTCATTGTCCTGCTGGAAGGTCAACCTCTGCCCCAGTCTCAAGTCTTTTACAGACTCTAACAGGTTGTCATCTAAGATTGCCCTATATTTGGCTCCATCCATCTTCCCATCAACTCTGACCAGCTTCCTTGTCCCTGCTGAAGAAAAGCATCCCCACAACATGATGCTGTCACCTCCATGTTTCTCGGTGGGGATGGTGTGTTCAGGGTGATATGCAGTGTTAGTTTTCCGCCACACATAGCGTTTTGCTTTTAGGCCAAAAAGTTAAATTTTGGTCTCATCTGACTAGAGCACCTTCTTCCACATGTTTGCTGTGTGCTCCACATGGCTTTTTGAAAAATGCAAACAGGACTTCTTATGGCTTTCTTTCAACAATGGCTTTCTTCTTGCCACTCTTCCATAAAGGTCAGATTTGTGGAGTGCATGACTAATACTTGCCTTGTGGACAGATTCTCCCACCTGAGCTGTGGATCTCTGCAGCTCCTCCAGAGTTACAATAAGCCTATTGGCTGCTTATCTGATAAATGCTCTCTTTGCCTGGCCTATCAGTTTAGGTGGACGGCCATGTCTTAGTAGGTTTGGAGTTGTGCCATACTCTTTTCATTTTCAGATGATGAATTGAACAGTGTTCCATGAGATTTTCAAAGCTTGGGATATTTTTTTATAAACTACTCTGCTTTAACCTTCTCCACAACTTTATCCCAGACCTGTCTGCTGTGTTCCTTGGCCTTCATGATGTTGTTTTTTCACTAATGTTCTCTTACAAACCTCTGAGGGCTTCATAGAACAGCTGTATTTATACTGAGATTAAATTACACACAGATGGACTCTATTTACTAATTAGGTGACTTCTGAAGGCAATTGGTTGCACTAGATTTTAGTTAGGGGTATCAGAGTAAAGGGGGCTGAATACAAATGTATGCCACACTTTTCAGATATTTATTTGTAAAAACTTTTGAAAACCATTTATCATTTTCCTTGCACTTCACAATTATGTGCCACCTTGTGTTGGTCTATCACATAAAATCCCAATAAAATACCTTTACATTTTCGGTTGTAACATGACAAAATGTGGACAATTTCAAGGGGTATGAATACTTTTGCAAGGCACTGTATTTTGTACCTGAAATACAAAGTTGCTACAGTCACCACATCAGGGTATTCTGCTGTTGTTACATTGTTTTGTTTCTTAGCTGTGTGAAAAAGATCCTCCTGTCGTAGAAATTATTATTGGGCACAAAGAATTGTGCAGTCTGAAATCAATGGAGCATTGGTTACAGGCATCCTCACAGGCAAAGGCTAAATCTCTAAGCGGCTTGACTGCCTGAGGAGAACATGGTCATTACAACCCTGCAAATGCCAAATAAATCCAATTATGCTACTGATGCATTGATGTCATCAAATCATATAGATGCTTCATTGTGTCTATAAAGGGTCGTTTTCCCATCATTAGGTGTGACTTGGACACATTTCTTTGCTCAGACGTACATGTAAAATTGTGGACAATTATTTGGTAAATTGGGTTTTGAATTTAAAATGTTAGGAATTAACTAAACAAAGAATTTTGCTTCTGGAAAAGTTTATGGCCTATTGTAATTGCACTATTAAATATAACAAAGTGACCTAAACTAAAGCACTTTACATAATACAATAAAATTATTTTTATTATTCCAGAGACCAGATGACTTTTTGTTATTTACCATCCATTATAGAAGCATAAAATAAGTTCTGTACTTCTGTTTTCCCCTGAACTGTGATTTAGATTATGGTTTATAGCTGAACACCCACTCACCTCAATCAGACTGCAGGGAAGAACATGTCAAACCCATCTCTGCCAGGTCGCCTTTTTGTACCATCAGTTAAGGCTTCTAGCAGAACAATTATGCCCAGTATCTTTGTTCTTTCACATAATGCTCTCTTAGCACAGTCCCGCTTGGCGATACATACATGGCCTTGTTAGATTATCACAGATGCAGGTTGGATAAATTACTGTTTGTATCAGACAGCCTGTCCACAGCAAAACCTCCTTTACCTAACAAGAGCTTTGAGAGCAAGTTGTCGACTAAAGTTAGGTTGTTTCAAAAGTAAACTGAAAACTTTCTTTAAAAACAAAATATGTTTAGTTGACCTATATATAGGTATCCTATTCTTACATCATTTTGGGAGGGATTTTACATTTGCACAGTTGTAGGTCCTGCTGCTTCAGTTTTCTTTTTGGCTTCCCTTGATTCGATCCTTGTTACAACCCCAACTTTTTTTTTTGCTACAATCTCAATCTTTGTCCTGTGATTTGATTTAAACATCCAGTTTACACCGCTTGGACTGGACCTTTGGTTTGCTACCCTACTTTGCTTTGTTCATCTTATTCCATATCTGCCCTGACTGGTGTTGATGCCTGGCTTCCCCGACCATGCTGTACTTGACCCACTGTTACTGCTTGTCTGCTACTGAAACTGGCCTGTTTGGAATGTGCTTACCTAGCACCTGATTAGGAACAACTAGAATGCTCAGGCCTGATGATCTAGCACATGAAAACCTGGAGGCACACAAGTATAAAAAAAGCACATAATGCTTCCCAAATGTTGACGCTAAAAGGGATAAAAATTGACATCATTTATTAAAGAGTGGCTGCCCCTTGCAATACAAGCATTGTTATATTAAAGGATAAGTTCACTGTTTAAAAAAAAAAATAATACATGCACATTTTATTTGCAGATAAAAAAGTGTGCATTTACTATTTTTTTGGGAGCCTGGAAAGTATTGCACCCTCTATCAGAAGATTCTTGGTGCCATGCAGGACTCCTGCAAACCTGTCATGGTGTCTGTGTGCAGATACAGTCTGACAGGAAGACTGAATGAACTACTACAGGTGTCTCCACAGCGCCATGGTAGTTCATTGAGAACTACAAGTCAACAACCACAAAGGCTGTCAGGACATTTAGTTCATTCATTCACGCTGTTTTTAAATAGTGACAGCTAGTATGGGTAACTTCTCCCTGTACTGCTGTCACAGAGAGTGCGAGGGAGCGGCTTCAGAATCGGGAACATCACGGTGGAAAAAACAGGTGGAACATGTAACATGTTCCCAAAGGTGAAACTATCCTTTAAGAAAGAACATAGTTGCTCAAAATTGTTTTGCTCAGTTTTGTGTAAAGATGTTATATTCCATCATACTTGGCTATCTTCAAAAATGCTATATATCATGACCCTTCAAAAATGTCTTTGAATGGAAAATTGTGACTTGATGACTTCATGAGACACACAGGGTTATTCAATAAACAGTATAAAGAACAGAAGTCTTAGTCCAAGTGCAGTAACACATAACAATCAGTCAGAATACACTGCTGATGTCAGCCAGTACAAGCTGGATGTTAATTATTATCTATAGGCACTGCATTTTGCACATAGCCCTTCATTTCATACACTTTGTTATTATTAAGATTGACAGTGTAAGGCATGTACGACTGTGGTGTGGTAGAACTGTCTGCATTGCTTTAGAATGATATACTCTGGCACTCATTTAATTTGTGATCTTGTTTTTCTTCTCCAGGGACATTCTGCAGAAATAATTTCATTGTCGTTTAACACGACCGGAGAACGGCTGATCACAGGTTCTTTTGATCACACAGTGTCTGTGTGGGACATTCCTTCCGGCAGGTACCCTTTTTACGTGCCTGCCATTGTAATTATGCTGTATGAACTAACACTTTAAAGATAGCAAAGCAGAAGCACCTTACCATTCCTTTGCAGGATCAGAATGATGTCTGAAAATCAGCTTTACAGCCAATTATGCCTTTGAATATTTTTTTCTTAGCTGTATCTTATTTAATTATTACTTATTGTTGTCTGAAGATAAAATATTTAAGGGATAATGTATTATGAGAGCAAAATAGAACCTTTTTGCTAAGATTTTAAGTCCATACAGTTAGTCTGAGAAACTCCAAAGGACTATTTATATTTCTCTACGCCTCTACCCTTCCTCACCATCCACAAGCTAAAGGAAGGCTCTCGGGAGCCTGCTCTCAATGGTGTATGGATTACAGGAAGGAGCAAAAGTAGAGTGGCAAACTGGAGAAGGTGAGGTGCAAAAAAAGGAAATTATGAAATATAACACTTAAAGTGGTTCTTAAAGCAGAAGGTTATTACCTTAATGCATTCTATGTATTAAGGTTAAAAACCTTCTGGGTTCAACTCCCTTTATACTTACCTGAGCCCCATCTCGATCTAGCAATGTGCATAAGCGCAGAAGGCCTTCTGGGTCTCTCCCCTCATTGGCTCACACAGTAGTGGGAGTCATTGGCTCCTGCTGCTGTCAATCACAGCCAATGAGGAGAGAGCAGGAGGCGGGGCCATGTCACACTCTGTGTGTGAATGGAGAAGAGACTTGCTATTGGGGGCACTTGACAGGTGGGAGGAGCCAGGACCATCAGTCGGGGACCCCCAAAAAAAAGAGGATCTGGACTTCTCTCTGCAAAGCCATTGCACAGAGCAAGTAAGTATAACATGTTTGTTATTCAAGAAAACATTACAGCCTTTAGAGTCACTTTAAAGGGTCAGTCCACCCAACATTAATGTATTTATAAGTGGTGCTTGGTGGTCTAGGTCAGCCCCAGCTTTTTATATATGGCTTGGATACTTAAACAGCAACATCTCCTTGCCATAATTCTCGACTCTGTTCCTTTATATTTAGGAGTTTTGGTTGTTCCTGTCTACATTTGCATGGTTCAGAAATAAACAGGGAAAAATCCTTGTTCTCCAGAAAGAGGTAGTCCAAGCTAATTGGCTAACTTGCCATTGTGTTTTATACACACCATTGGGGGACTTTGTCAGGGCCCTATTGTCAGGTTCTTTTTTTTTTTGCTGCCTGTGTGTTTCTTTGGGGTGATTACTCTTGTCCCATGGACACTGCTGGAAGTGAGAAGAAATCTATCCAAAATTAAACAAATGCCCTCTTTGCTAGGTATTGGATTAGGTCTTACCATTGTAATATTTCCCATCTATTCTTGTTCTGAAAAAATGTAAAGTCTAGGGACACAGGCAGCAATACAAAAAAAAAAGCTAAAAACTAAGTGTGGGCTTTAATTTAACTACGCTTTAAAATATGCATTGCTAATTTGGAACAGCAGACCCTAATATAAAGTATTCTTCCTACACAGGAAATTTCACACCCTAATAGGTCATCGAGGAGAGATCAGCAGTGCACAGTTCAATTGGGACTGCTCCCTCATTGCCACTGCCTCCATGGATAAGACCTGCAGGGTATGCATATAACACAGTAATATTGTCTTTCTTTCATTACCACTCCACCCTGTATTGGGATTACAGTGTTAATAATATGTAATAAAAATACAAAACTAGAGATTGATGATCATGGTAGTTGTTCTTTGCAAGACGTACAGAAATACAGTTGGCATTGATTTGCAACTTGTAATATTTTCAGTGCAATCCCAGTTTTGGTGAAAGACATTTAGTTTGATCCCATCATCTCTAAATTATTGTTCAGTTCATCTCTGTGTCAGCTTTGTAGAACTTGAAGAACTTTTTCTAGTAAAAAAACATTATAAATAAATAAAATGCAATATCTTGTGAATAAGAGATTAACTGACTCAGAAATCATGGGCAATCAAAAAACAATCCAGGCCTTGAAGAAGTATTGTGTTTATATGGAAAAATTAGGATTTTATGTTACAACATTTATTATTTAGGCACAAATAGTAATACCATGCTATGGTTATAATTTATGGTGCTTCACATAAAATGCTTATATTTGGCCAATGGAAGAATTTTGCTAACATATTACCTGTAGGTATATCCAGTTTGGGGTATGATCTATGTGGTGGCAGTTACACATCACAGAGGGAAGTGATCACAGGTTTGTATGACATCAATACTGGTGCATATTAGACATCCCAGCAGGAACTAATGTATGAAACATGATGGAGGTGTTACCAACAGAAACCAGACATTTTAGTAAACAATAGACTAAGAGCACTCCCTCTACTCCTGTCCACTTTCAAAGATTTTATACATCAGTATGGTTGTGGATGCCTTTTTCCTGACTTCATAGAAGAGAATGCTCACAGAAGCTCAGAATGCAGAAGACATTTTGCACCTGTAACTGCAGCACTGGATTTCTTCAGAAGAGTTTTCTGCTACTTGGTTTTATATGCAGATGGGTTTTCAATGTCTTCTGTATTTTAATGCTGTATTTCTGAACAGTGCAAAGGTTGTTTTGAGATTCCTGTGCTTTGGCAAACAGTGTTCCTGAACTAGCCCAAAGGAACTAATCACACAACATTAAAATACAGTAAAGCAAAATATGACTAATTGCTGCAGTTTGATGGAGAATTGTGTCCTGTTCTAGTGTTTGTGGAATGCCAATTCAGCCTTGTTCCAACCCTTGTGGTTATGTTGCAATGTGTTGAATAGGCAGCCATGTACAACATGCTGTGACTGTTCATAAGGGTTTTGCGTCATATTTGTCAACACAATATATCGTCCTCATCATTCAGGGGTCTCTTAGGAGGGATCAGAACTGCCATTTAAGTGTCTCCTTTTATCGCTTGTGTGAATGCAGCCTTGTAGGTTCAGCAATACTATTTGATGAATAAGCATGTCTCCTGTTGCCTAATTACCTTTAAGCCAGAAATCGTAAACTATATTGCTATAAAGTTTTCCCGCTGTCCTTCCCCACCTTGATCACTTTAAATGATCATCTTTCATGTAACATAGACATTTGAGAGAGATTTACTAAAACTGGTGCATTCAGAATCTGGTGCAGCTGTGCATGGTAGCCAATCAGCTCTAACTTCAGCTTGTTCAATTAAGCTTTGACAATAAAACATGGAAGCTGTGTGGTATCGCTACAGAGCTGCACCAGATTTTGCACTCTCCAATTTTTAGTAAACCTCCCCCATTGGGAGAAATGATTGTTTGCAACTGAACAAGCAGATCTTTGGATGAGTTTTTCTATACTCAGTATTCACATCTATTACTCTTCATAGCAGAGAATCTACATATTACTTCCTATAGGTCAATAGCAAGGGAGTGCAGGGTTTTCTCTATAAACCTCCTTAAAACAGGTATTCAGTGTAAAAGTATCTAAAAGACAGGTATAGAGTATACTAGAAAGTATCTTAATGTGTCCACCACATTCAGGCAGACACAGGGATAGATTTACTAAAACTTGACACTGCAAAATCTGGTGCAGCTGTGCATGGTAGCCAATAAGCTTTAAACTTCAGCTTGTTTACTTAAAGATGAAGTCCAGTTTTTGTTACACTTTACATAGTTTGTTTGGGCAAGATGGCCCAAACGAACTATGTCCCTCACTAACATGTGAGGCCACTTGATGTGCTGTATGAACTGTATGTAGCTGAGGCTACATTCAGCATACAGCACTGTGTTCCGATGCAAGCCGAGACTTTGTTTTCTCAGACCCGGAACACAAGAAAGTCTGTCTGAGCGGCGCTCATAGAAAGCTGTGTTGTATCAATGAATACAAAGCTTCCTCTGATTGGTAGAGTCAGAGGTTGGGACATCATCAACCTACCTCTCTGACTCAGAGGAAGCTTTGTATTCATTGATAGAATACATCACTTTCTATGAGTGGCTGAGCGCCGCTCAGACAGACTTTCTTGTGTTCCAGGTCTGAGACTGGAAAGTCTTGGCTCGCATCGGAACACAGTGCTGTATGTAGCATTAGCATCATATAGTTCATTCAGCGCATCCAGCTTGGTCCAAACGAACTGTAAAGTGTACCATAAACTGGACTTCAGCTTTAATCTTTGACAAAAGAACCTGGAAGCTGATTGGTTTCTGTGCAGAGCTGCACCAAATTTTGCACTCTCCAGCTTCAGGAAATCAACCCTACAGGTCCAAGAGGGTGACAAGCTATTGTGTCCTTCCAGCCACTTCTAAATCCCTCCCTGTGGGCACCTTTAGTCTTAAGCAAATCGAGTGGATTTGCTTGATCTGCCTCAGAAAATACTGCTGTGATATAATCAGCACTTTATAGCAGATAACCAAATTTATGACTCTGTAAAAGATAGCAGGTACTGGAAAACTGCAGCCACAAATTGACTTCATTATTTTCACAATATATTCTGACCTTGTGCAGAAGAAAAGAGACTGGGAATGTGTACTGAAGCTTTGGTCAATACTAATAATAATTGTATTGACTGTAGTTCAGGTGATAGCTGTGATGGATGTATAGTCAGAGCTGGGTTCCTTTTTGTAGGAGGAAATTTGCTTGAGATAATCAGTGCGCACATTTCCCTGTAGTGTTAGACAGCTCATAAAACAGTAAGTAGAGGTGATCACTTCATTGCATCTTCCATCCCAAGATATACACAGGCCTTTTTCATTGTTTAACTCTCCCCTGGCATCACATGAGAAAATAATTGTCTGAACCGAATTGAAATTCTCAGAAGTCATTTATAAGTTCTTCTTCGTATTGGCAGCCAACCAGGGCATAGTACATTAGATGAATGCTAGAAAAATACAGTACTGAATTCTTTATTAAGCTTGTAAATTGACTGTTCACCCATCCATATAACAGGCTATGTGAGACCTTTATAAAGCTTTTCTAAGAATAAGGTGTTTGTTTCCTTGAGTATTGATGCTGCAAAGCAAGGTAATTATGAATATATTTTCTGACTTAAATATCTTTTTATAATCTCTTTAAATATGGACATAAATAATTTCCACTGCTATTCAGTCTGTAGTAATGAAATCAATGAAAAATGTGGTCATGTGAGCACACCTGCCTGTGTACACTGTGTAGCAAGTGAACCAATTCATAGCATAGTAGATCTTTCTTATAACAGAACTTAGTCACTTGTCTTATTCCATCATATATCGTAAAACTAAAGGATTATTCCTAATTTCAGAATGCTGGGAAGGGCCATGCACATCATGTAAAGAAATAATTTACATAATTCCACTTGCTGTCCACAAATGAGGAATAATCCTTTTATTTGTGAGCTAAGTGATGGAATGAGGCATAGGAATACCTTAAATCATTTGTATAGAAATACTGCATTAGCAAATTCAGTGTTATTTGTGTTATCAATTTAATTGTGAAATGTGTATTTCTTGTGGTATTTTACCAAAGTATGTGTTTTTTTATTGATTCGGATGTTGAGGGTCATAAAAAAGTCAGAGTCCTGTTAGATACAGCTGAACCAAGGCAGTTTAAATCAGCCAAAAAGTGAAAGGTCTAGCAAACAAATTAAAATGAGACACCACACTTTTGATGGTACATTTCAATATTCAAGTTCACTTATGTATAACAAAGGTAAAGGCAATTGCTACATCAGTACAATTACAATTAAAAATAAATAAAGATTATCACCAAATACAATCATAAAATGTCCAATTCAAATGTGTCCAACAAAATCCAAAAGTCCAAATTCCAGACTTCCATCCAGTAAGAAGGATAATAATCCTAATTTTTCAGCGAAAAAACCTCAAAACAAAGAAATAAACTATAGTGCATTACCCTTAAATAAATAAATAATACTCTAATCCATGCAGATCACAAACCATTCAAAAATGTGCAAAACAAAAAAAATATATATATATATAATTTTTATATATAATACACAAATTGTGAACACTCCGTGACCATTCCAACACTGTGTGCACTCTGACCCAACAAATAATAGTGCTAAATACTATTACCCTCTGTGAGTATTTGTATGCATATTCAATACTATGGAATCAAAACTCTTCCCATTCCTTCATTTCCGGGATTAAACTTCCAAGGTCCTCACAAAGATAAGAAGACTCTTTTAGACTGATCAACAAGGCATAGGGACAAATTTATTAGCAACTTACATCTGAATAAAGGAACTTCCAGCTCTTTCAATGGCCCTCTAATGTAACCAGCAATCAATGGCTGAAAACCATATGTTTCAAACCAACAAAATGGCCACGGCGACACTTCCGGTTAGCGTGCGTGCGTCTTGACGTCACATTTTCTAATGCGTTTTGTCACTTCCGGACTTCATCTGAAGGGATACGGACGTCTCTTCAGCCGCTCTTTTATTTGAATGCCTCTCAATAGCCAGAGGCTATGTCCGTCATTTTCAATAAGGGAAAACCCATCCTTATAAGTTCCTTTTCAAACGCATTTTAAACAACTATATAACAAACCCTTATGGATCGGTAGCAACCTCATCACATAATAAGAAACATAGACATTAGCAATACATAAAACCTTAAAATTACATTAATTTTAGAACATACTCTTCTTT